GAGGAAAGACTAAGATTCACAGGAAAATCCTGGGCGTGTCCAGGTAAATCTGGATTGGGCAAGGCCAGACAGAAAGGGAAGAAACAGTTGGGGCAGAGTCTGAGCTCAGAGACTCTGGGGCAGACAAGGGGAGCAAGCAAGCAAACTCACAATTTAATTAGCTTCCCAGTTTGTCAGTGGATTCCGGGGGAATTAGCAGAGCTCAGAGTCTAGGGACCTTGCTGGGAGTTGAGGGGAAGTTAATGAGAAAGGCAACAACATGCCCCAGGGAGAAATGAAAGAGCAGGAATCATTAGCCAAGCAGAGATGCTGGCAGGAGAAACAGATGTCAGGGCGAGGAGTCAGCTTTCTGAGTAGCTCTCAGTCCTCCAGGGGAGAAGACAGTTAGGGCCCCTGGGTTGGCTGCTGCCCCGCTGCTATGGGTTCAAATCCCTGTGAGAACTTGGTAAGCAATTTGGGAGGGGAACATTGCGCATGGCTATGAAGATGAGGCTCCCCACTCCCTGTTGGCCCTTTTCTCAGAAGGCTGGACATTCCTAATGCCTAGAAGGCAGAACAAAATTCCCTGAGCCCCTTCTACAGATGGGGAGGTCAAGGGCAGGGACAGGGAGGTGATGACCTGCTCGTGTCCCCAGGCGGCACACTTCCTTTTCTGACAGCTGTAATACCATCTCCCCATCCCACATGCTCTTCCTGTCAAGGTGACCTTGACATTCCCCACAAAGAGGACGATTTAGGTGAGGGCATGGAAGGTGATAGGGCTGTCTGGTTCACTCTTGAAACGCTCACACTTGGAACCAGGACCCCACCCTGTGAGAGAGCTGGGGCCACTTTTCTCACATGCTGTGACCAATAGGCCCGGTCAAAACCGACTTCCTAATGGGCAGGGCCCAGTGCATGATGGGTTAAGAATTCCAAGATGGTGACAACAGAGCACCAAACCAAGCACAGGCCCTTCTAAGCTGAGGCTTTGGGCAATGACCCAAATGAGCCTGTGAAGCTGGCTCCTGCTGAGGTCCGATGTCTGATGTCCCCCATTGACTGCCAGCCAGGTGTGTGAGGAAGCCTTTGTGAAGCAGCCAAGCTGAACCCACCTAGCTGAACCCAATATGCAAGGGAGGAAAATGAAAACCCACTAAGTTTTGGAGCCGTTTTATGCCACAGTAGTCGGAATACTGGGAGAACAAGACTGGTCAAAAGGAGGCAATGCAAGGCGGTCAGTAAGTTCCCTCCCTCCCTCCACCCCTAGTCGGCACAGGACACCCCTGAGCTGCTGTCACAAGTGACCCTTGACTCCTGTTCCTAGGGAGGCTGGAGGCATGCAGAACCCCAGACTGAGGAGACCCAGACATGGATTGCTGTACAGCACTATCATGATCTGCACACCTGTGGGGACCAAAGTCCACCAGCCTAAAGTCAGCAATTATTCTAGAGCAGGGGTCTGCAAATGTTTGAGATGGAAGAGCCAATCCTGTCCGTCACAACAATTTAAAAATGATCCCAGAGCCCTAAGTGTCTTATTACAGACAAATGAAAGCACTGTTCTCTGAATAATATCCTTCAAATGAAACTATGATTGTTTTATTTTCACTGCATTGCACTTGAGTGATGGTGCTGCCAACGAATATGGAAAGTACCATGGGCTGCCAAAAATAACCAGTACATCTTGGGGGAAGTACAGCCAGAGTGCTTCTTAGAAGCAAGGATGGTCTCACGTACTTTGGACATGTCAAGAGAGACCAGTCCTTGGAGAAGGACATCACGCTTGGTAGAGTTGAGGGGCAGCCCAAAAGAGGAAGGTCCTCAATGAGATAGAGTGCCACCGTGGCTGCCCAGAGGATGGCCCAGGACAGGGCAGTGTGTCCTTCTGTTGTATGTAGGGTCCCTATGAAACCGACTCGATGGCACCTAACAAGAACAAAAGATTTGAAGGTGGTACAATTTATTTGTGAACCTAAGTGGAACTCACCCAGGAGTGCTGCAGAAGAAAGGCCTGGTGATCTGTCTCTGTGGAAACAACAGCCAAGACAGCCCCTGGATCAGTTCTCCTCTGTAAGACATGGGGCCATCATGAGTTGACCTGAATGCAATTGTGTTAGTCTGGGTAGACTAGAGAAACAAATTCATAGACACTCATATGTGTATAAGAAAGAGGTTTTATTACAAGAGCAGTTGAATATTGAGAAAACGACCCAGCCCAGTCCAGATGAAGTCCAATAAGTGTGATATTAACCCATATGTCCGATACTAATCTATAAAGTCCTCTTCAGACTCATGAAACACATGCAATGACGCCAAATGCAAGAAGACCACAGGCCAGTGGGTGGGAAATCTTGTGGATCCAGTGGCACTGTAAGCATCTCAGTGCTAGAAGGGGTTTCCACATGGCTTCCCCAGCTCAAGGCACTAGTGTAGCTCCATGTGTCTTGTCAGCTGCAATGTCTCTCAGAAAGTCAGCAGAGAGAGAGAGTGATTCCCCTCTCCAAGGAGAAATACCAGAGCTCCCAGCATCCTCAGGAGAAGACCATGCCTACACAGAGGTCTCATTGGCTATGACCTGATTGACAGGCTGGACTCCACCCCTTCTCACATAGTCCTTTCAAATTGACAAACGATTGTATAACTACCCCAGCAATGCTTTTTTCAATTTCAGATTTTTAGTATAGAACACTGGACTTCATGTCAAACCACACTCACTGCCATCAAGTTAAGATTAAGACTCATAGCGACCCTGTAGGACAGGGCAGAGCTGCTGCTGTGGATTTCTGAGACTCTAACTCTTTTTTTTTTTTTTTTGCGACTCTGGCGGGATGAGATTCTAACTCTTAACAGAAGTAGAAGCCTCATCTTTCTCCAAAGGGTGGCTGGTGGTTTCAAACTGGTGACCTTGCAGTTAATAGCAGGATGCATAGCCACTAGGCCTCCAAAGCTCTCTTTTGTGAAAAGTCAGTTTAGCTAGGTAGAAATATACTTATATGAGGGGGCTTCAAAGAGTTAGTTTGTGGGCAGATGGAATGGAAGAAAAGAAAAGGAATTTTCCCACGACCTTTTCATGTGTCTTGGTATTGAAAAAAGAGTGGATTTAGCTAAACATCAAAATATTTAGCTTTATAAATATTTGGAAAATGATGAAAACAACATATGTACGAACACACTTGATACAATTAATATATGGAATGTTATAAGAGCTCCCAATAAAATGATTAAAAATAATAATAAATAAATACATTTTAAAAATCTACCTTTATGTGTTCTTCTTTCAAAGGGCAGCATTAATATTTTATTGTCATTTATAATCAGATGGTATTGTGTATATAGTCTTCATAGTTGATTAAAAAATACTTTTATTGGGGACTTTTACATCTTTTTGTATAATCATTTTATTGGGGGCTCTGACAGCTCTTATCACAATCCATACATCCATGCACTGTGTCAAGCACATTTGGACACTTGTTGCCATCTTATTCCCAAAACATTTGCTTTCTGCTTGAACCCTTGGTATCAGCTCCTCATTTAAAAAATTTTTTTCATTTATTTTGGATCCACAAATCACACAATGGAAGCATTAGTCAATAAACCAAAGGACATGTTACATTGGTTAAATATGCTGCCCAGGACCTCTGGAAAGTGTCGAACAGGAAAGATATCACTTTGAGGACTAGGTGTGGGTGACCCAAACTACCTCATGTGAATCACCTCATATAAAGTTAAGGCTGGACAATGAATGAATAAGGAAGACCAGATAAGAACTGATGCATTTAATTGTGGTACTGTTGAAGAATATTGATAGTATCCTGGACTTCCTCAGCTCCTCATTTTCGTAGTTGATTTTTATGTACATAAAAAAAGTTTTACACAGCGGAGGGCTGGTTACATTCTTTTCAGGAAGCTAGTTAACATAACTCATTGATAGTAGCTTCAAGTTTTGCCTTATGAGCTCCAGAAAGTCCACCCACCTTTTGTCCCTTTTTACACAATGGATATGTTGGCATGGATTTGACTTCACATTCTGAAACCACATGCTGACAGTCCACATCAGCTTCGAGGAAGACCCGTCGCCATACTTTCCACCGAGGGAACCAGAGGAAGGAGGGCTTTCCCACTTCGCAGGGCCCGCACCACGTGGCTGAGAAGTCAACACTGACAGCGAGCTGCTCTCCAGCCCGTCAAGGCTGCCTTCCCCAGGCTTCGCCGTATTGATGGCTGGGGGTTGATGAGCGACCCAGGGCACAGGAGGAACAGAACCGGGCACTGGGCAGAGTTTGGACTCCTCTGTGTGTTCTTTCTGGCAGGTCCTGTGTATGTTTTTCTGCTTTCCAAACTTTCTACAAGGAATATGTATTACTTTCATTTGAAAACTAATTTGGACTTCAATTTGTAATTGAATTTTATTCATTTGAAAAATAATAAAAAGGTTCATTTCTTAGAAATGAATCCAATAAAGAAGTAGCTCAATGGAACAGAATATACAATCTAGTCATAGGTATCAATACCTATTAGAATTCGAATATTATAAAAGTGTCACTTTACATCAAAAGGAAACAATAAATCAGGTACTAAAATATGTGAGAACAACTAGTTTGCCATCTGGATTCATACATCATACTTTACATCAAACAAATTCGGAGTGGATTATTTATCTGTAAAAATAAAACCAAAAGTTAAATATTTTTCTACACTAAAAAATCAGAGGATAGATA